TTGTAATGTGATGGGTGACGTAGGCTTTTGTCTTGTAACACTGTTTTGTGTCCCTTCACACTTTGTCTTGTGTTTGCCTTTTTAAGGTAGACCTTTTGAATGTTTTCCAAATCCATGCTATTTCCTGACAGCTGAGGACCTTGGTGTGTCCGTGTAGGCTATCACTGTGCGGTTTGCAGATTTTCCTCACATATTACTACCTTTTGATTAAAATGATTGAAGTATTTTGGACGCCAAGCTTACACTTTGATTTTCTGCCCACTTTCTGTGAAGCCAATGGAAAAATTAAACACACATTGAGAAATGAGACTCACATACATGTAGCTATAGACACAACATTCTGTAAAAGCTTTGCGAAGGTGTCCAAAAGGTCAAAAGGTGTCCAAAAGGTCCAAAGGTGTCCAAAAGGTCCAAAGGTGTCCAAAAGGTCCAAAGGTGTCCAAAAGTGTCCAAACTTGAAAAAAATCCATTTCTGAGACGTTAAAGTGAGAATTAACCTGGAATGTTCCACCTGGCAAATAGGGCATTAAAACAGTAAAGCTGTCTCCATTTCTGAAAATACAAAATACAGAATTATCAGCTAGAACTTTGTGTGCCAAACATAAAACACCTGTGAACATACACAGGTGTCTCAAATGATTCAACAAATCTTGGTGACTGCAATTTTTCAGGTCATTTAATGCCTTAATTTTGCTCTTACATGTACTTGTACTTGGAGCACTGTTGCATTTCACCCACACATCTTGAGCGTGTGAGCAGTAATTGTCATCCCACTTTCCATGGTAACACTTGGCTAGTCTGTCTTCGGTCCCACTACAGCGCACATTGGAAAGCCAGACGGGTCCACCAGCGGACCGGTTATAATCACGACCTAACACAACAAAAAGGTTAATGCTTTGTCACAAACCAAAAATAAACAAATAAGGAAAGAAAACAAAGCCAAAAATCTTGCTCAAAACATACATATTTCAGGAAAGTAAGCAGACACAGACAAGGTAAGAGGAAATGTGAAAGAGCCTAAAATGTGTGCAGGGTCTTGTCTCTAAATTTCATACAACTGAAAGTCGACAACTGCAAGATTTGTATCCATGGTTTTTTCACACATCCGTTTTTCAATCACTCGAAATTTGTAAAGAAACAGTCAAAGAGCACCTAAACAGGACACACGCTAAAACGAAGTGGTACCACTCCTGAGACCTCTAGCTGCATTTTAGGTAGAGAATCGAAGCGATTTTACACTCAGAATATTAGATGTGTTTTGTAAAATCAGCCACTTCCTACTGTACTGGCTCTGCCAGCTCTAACATCCCTCTTCTCTTCTGTCCTGTATAGAGAAACGCACTTCCAATACAATACTCCTCCTCTGAATGACTTTCACAACCCAACAAAAGTTTTATTTGCCCATTGAGTCTGTGTTTAAATACAATTGTTTGTTAATTGTTTTCAAATACAATGCAATTGTATTTGAAATTCAACAGTGCAAGTTCTATTTTTCACAAACCCCTTTGGCAACTTATTAAAATTTTGAACAGGTACTTGCAAGCAACCATCTTAAACACTGGTTGGTTTTGTCTGGTAATCAGGCTAAATTTTGTTCATTTGTTGGTAAAACATGGCCGAACCTGTGGCACTGTTTCCACCAGCTGATTCTACCCAGGCTGCTTTTTTGTTCATTTGTCGACCAAACATTTCAGGAACCTTTTTAAGACAACCTTCAACTTAAATGTATTTGTCTACCAGTTAGAGTACATATTCTGTGTACAAACTAAAATCATACTTTCGGATGTAAAGATGGCAAAATCAAATCCCAGCTCCTCACACACGACATCCGCATCAAGTTTGTCCCATCCAACGTCACAGACTGTACCCCACTGACGGTTGTAATTAACCTCCACATAGCCCTCATATTCTGAGCTCCCGTCTACCAAACGGACTTGACCAAACTTATATGCTGTTGACAAACATAAATAGATCATAGATTCATGAACAGAACATAATCATTGGTTCATGGTCATTTTGCTGAGAAACAGTAATACACATAGAAATCACTTGCATTTAAGGAAATTGAGCAGCACAGTGACATCAGCAGTTTTCAATACTTTCATGATAGATGGTCTGTTGAATAGTCATTTCTGAAAACTTTATTTTTGAAAGAAATATTAATGGAAATGACAAGTTTGCCCTTTCGAAAAAAAGAGAGCTAATAAGGTGCACTTGTAGCTTGTTACCTGGTTGCATTCCACTACAAGACACACCAGCATCTTCAGAATGTTGGCAATCTTCCATAGCATGATATGCACAATCCGACAGATTGTCTTCTGTTCCTTTACAATCCACTTCGTCCATGGCTATTAAACCAGTTCCTTCACCAAATGTTGCACCACCAGGAGCTGAGAGAGCCTCTCCATAACCCAGCTGACGACAAACCACGGTAGCATCAGCTAAATCCCAGTCATCGTCACAGATAGTACCCCAAAGATTTCCAAACTTCACCTCTACTCGTCCCTCTAGAGCACTGCTACCACCAACTAGCCGCATACCACTGTGTTCTGGAATTCAACAAGAGAAAAATGTAATGCATAAAATGAAGTAGAACAAAACAAATTCAAACAAAGAGAACATCCAAAATTTTCCAAAAACTTGCTTGGCCTACCTGTTGCTCTTAGACAAATGACACCAGCATCTCTACTGTGTCTACAGTAGGGCCTGGCCGCCCGTGGGCAATCCAACAATGTTCTCTCTGTCCCATCACATGCCAGGTTATCTAAAAATACATCTCCACTGCCCTGCCCGAATTCTGCAGATCCAACAGCAGAAAGTGCATCCACAAAGCCTAGTTGCCGACATACAACTCTTGCATCATTCAAATCCCAGTCATCATCACAAACTGTTCCCCAGACACCATTGATAAACACCTCCACTCGGCCATGAACACTGCTATTGTCTCCTGCAAGCCGTACGTCAGATGTACCAAGCCCACCTGAATAAAACAGACATGTGGCAAGAGAATCAGCATGAACTACATGATTTCTTTATATTCCTAAAGCACCAGGAGTATGAATAGTGGGCCTGCCAACCCCACTGGCTATATAAGAGCAAGTGGGGCAAGACAATGCATGAGTACACGGAGTGCTAAAGTGGTTTCTAAACAATGTCATATTCGTGATCATGACTGTAATGTCATTCTGGGCAGAAACTTTAGTGTGACAGCTTTTACAGCATCAAAATTTGTTGAATACTAGAAGTATTCCTGTCGTAAATCTTTTTTTTTTTTTGTGATTGCCTGTTTCATATGAAGTACATTTGTCTGTTAGTAAGAAATTTACATATATATTCAAAACAAAACCAAAAATACCTGTACAGATGACTCCAGCATCTCTCCAATGGCCGCAGTGGTACATGTACTTGTAGGGTGATGATCTACAGTCTTGCAACCTGCTTTCTTGTCCTGAGCAGTTAACATTTTCCAGAGCAATTTCACCTTTCCCTTCACCGAAATGAGCCCAACCAAAAGCTGATACTGCGTAATTATAGCCCAACTGACGACATACCACCGTTGCATCAGTTAGATCCCAATCATCACCACAGACAGTTCCCCAAGCATTGTTTACAAAGACCTCTACTCGGCCTTCCTCTTCACTGCTACCGCCAACAAGAACAATCTCACTGGAAGCTACATTAAACAAAAACGACAGTTGTGATTGAAAATATGGCCGATTCAGATACAACACAAATTGAAAATATCCATTGATCGATTGATCAAATCAAATAACCAATCAAAACTGAACAACTTAATAAATGTACAGTAGATAATTCAAGTAAATGATCAAAATATTCAAGTAAATGATCAAAATATTCTCTTTAACTTACTTATAGTTGTGCATTTGACACCAGCATCTTCACCATGGTTACAGTTGTTTTCTCTGTTTGCAGGACAATCTTGTAACTGTTTTTCTGATCCTTTGCATTTTACATCATCTAGAACGATTGGGATGGTTCCACGGCCAAACTGCGCAGACCCAGTTGCTGAGAGACCTCTTACATAGCCCAACTGACGACACACGACATGAGCATCATTAAGATTCCAATAATCATCACAGACTGTCCCCCAAATGCCATCTATTAACACCTCCACTCGGCCCTGTAGATCATTGCTACCATTCACAAGACGAATGGTATTCGAGGCTACGGTGAAAGCAAAACAGACCTTGGTTGAAAATAAGAACACTGTAAAACTTCTGCAAAAAATCGGTTGCAACAACTTCTCCCTTGGGGCCCTAGATGTGATTGTATCTCTTCTTTTTAAGTGCACTGCACAACACAGAAGTAATTACTAGCCTATATCATAGAGTTGAACAATCCAGGTGCATTTAACATTTTTCAAAAGCGCCATTCAGCGATCCAAGTCACGTTTAAGAGCAAACCCTGCTACTTTCAAAGTCCCAAGGAGTGGTCATTACCTTAAAATCTTGTCCTTGAATAATTAATGTCAATTTGGTCAGTTGCACTGACCTTAATTAAGGTCTTCAAGGCCCATGGGTGTAAGCAAACACTTGTGGTAAGGGTGCATCTTTTCAAAACCCATCTTTGACGGAATGTTTCATTAAACACTTGTGGCTAACAAGAAATTGTTTTGGGACGACATTTTGATTCTGGAACAAAAAGAGGTAATGGTTTTGTTATTGCCCTGCAAGACATCACTTCTTTCTGGCCTTGTATGAAGTTATGAGCTATGAAAAGAAATATAACTACATGTACAGTAGTATTCATGGATGCCGCAAGGCAGCAACAAGCATTTCTCATGCCACCTAGAATGGAGGGCTTGTTGGACCCTGAATGGGGTTTCATTGTAACCCCATGCCCCGGATTGAAGGAGTCCTCTGTGATTGAGAACTATGAGATCATTTTGAATGTAATTTTGAGGCAGGGCATGGGGTTGGGGTATACTTCAATTTGAGAAATGTTTGGTGTGATGCATTCACTTTACTTCTCTGGTTGCAAGCCAAAACTCTATGGACTGACCGACAAGACTTTTGGTCAATGCTGTTTTGATCGTGAAAAGCTGCACTGCCCTGGTTAAAAATGAAATGGACTCAGCGGCAGGGTCGCTAAATTGTATAGTAAAACTGTGAAAGCACATGTAAATTTAGCCTGAAGGCTTGATGTACATGTACAAGTATAATTTAAGATTTATTAAAAAATACATATACCATTAGTCTCAATGAAAACAGCAGGTATAGCACACCGTTTTTCTTGCATATAATTATGTTGCCATAATAAAGTCACCTACACTTACGGGCTTGTTTGACCCTAAAAACCCAAGTCTCAGGGTTACCTCTGTGGGAGAGATCTGTGTGTGAGTATAGGCTTTTCCTAATATTATGCAAATTCACAGCAAATGAAAACAAGGCTGTAGGGAAGTTGGGAACTGGAGTGTCACAATGGTCGTAAACAGAACTTGGGTATCTTTCCGTGGTTCCAAAAGCAGTGGAGAGCAACAGCTTGGTCCAGTCTTAGACGCCTACATTCATAATCTGAAGGGTAAGCAGGTTGCTGATGGGATTTTATCTGGGGCATTTTGTTGACGTTGCATGCATGCACTATTTACGTCTAGGCCTAAGCGGTCGGTTGTCGCCACAATCGAGCAGTTTGAAGAACTTTTTTGTCATTCAGAGATTGAATCAGAAGAAATTCTGGTTCACTCCCTTTTCCACAAATTCCGGTTCCACACTGCATTCATTGTACAAGCGACAGACACTTGAAATTGTATGTTATTTCTCAATATCTTATAAACTGTGTAAAGATGCCTCAAACATGTCGAACTTTGACAAGGTCAAAGGTCACAAGTATTTAACCTAGTATCAAAATGTATACTTTGATGATGCATATACATTAGGCTTCTATATCATAACTTCCATTCCAATCGCCTGATGGAGGTGTGAGGCCTATCATTTGAATGCAAATTTAAAGCTTTGTGCTCTATGGTTCTGAGGCTAGCCTATAATCTGATAATAAAAATAATTGGAACCTTTTCCATGAATCTATTTTAGCTAACATAATTAATACATCTTTCAGAGCAATATTTCACACACCTGAGTGATACAGTGAAGAACGTGTCACCATGGTCACACATTCAATGGATGTATGATGACTATAGGCTTGCCCTGCCCAACATGCCCAACGTCACCGAACATCACGTTGGACCTAAGGTTCAAAATTACAGGTTTAGGCCTGACATCAGAACAGACAACTTACATGTACTTTGCCCACTGGCATGACTGGCGAGACTTGTTAGACATGTCAGATACATTACTAAAAAAATTGCGGCAATCAGAGTTGACGGCGCCATTCAGTCCCGCAATTAATACTGCCACTTTGTCATATGATCACAGGCATGAGAGGCGACGGTTAGATGAGGATGCTTTTCCTGGAAAATATTTTTTTTTACCGTCCAAAGGTAAATTGGTGATTCTTCCATGGAATGGAAAACATCGCATTGGTCTATTTAACTGAATCACAATACCAAGGAGACTGGGTTTCAGATCTGGCAGCACAGACTATGGTACTAGTCTCAGAACCAGCCGTTATTGTGATAAGTTGACGTCTGTTTTATTTCGTTGTACCTCCCCACCCAGCTGGGAGAGGCCCACGGTCCAAACGCTCGTGTCGGTACGGGTAACGATACAGTACGATTCTGTTACGATTGGGACCTATACCATCCTTACAATACACTGTATTATGATTGTTAATAGATGTGGCTTTGTTAAAGGAGTCAATATATGGTCAGAGCGTCAAGCAACGTTACCAAAATATTGCATGTGTCGAGTTTAGTGTATTGTAGCGCCGGCGGGTCCGGCCGGTGGGGGCGCCAGCTCGGACCCGCATGGAGCTGGCTGGCTGCCCGCGCTGGTTGCGAACGGCCCGCGGTTTTCCCGCCTCGCACCTGCGCAGTCCCTGCCGTCAGGCGCCATGTTGTGAAAAGGATTGTCGGAAGAGGACATTGTGGTCCTGTCAGATTGCGACAGAATAAAGCAGAGATTTTTGTGACCAGAACAGTGAGTTGCACCAGCGTGTCGTTCTTACAGTGTCGAACCCTGTGCAGCGGGACACGCTACAACTGGTGGCAGCGGCGAGACGCTGGATAGCTGTAGAAAAACAGGTAAACTCTTCGCCTTTTCTGTGTCATGGAATTGGTGGATGATTTTGGTCTTGTGCCGGACTCGCTAGCCAGCGGCAGCACAGGCCAGCGCAGGGCCCCGTGGTCGGGGGCCCAGACTGCGAAGGCGACGTGGAACTCACCTGGATTGGCGGGCGAGCTGGAGTCGTTCCTCGCGGGGAATCTGGAACAGTTGTCCAGGAGTGGAAGGCGGAAATTCGAGGGTATCGAGTGCGCGGCGTAGGGGGTCCTGGGCTAGGTCCCCTGGAGAATACAGCCAAGCCTGGGCAGTCCCCGGGCGACTTCCCCCCTTCTAGGGTCGATGGGGTGAAGGGGGTGCGGTTCCGTTTGGAGCACGACCATTTCGCCCCGGTCACTGGGGAGGGGGCGGGGCATCGCCAGGAGACATCCTCCCGGCCCCTCACTAGTACACCCATCGTCGACGTCCTTGGGGCGCCCCCTGGCGGCGGGGACGCACTAGGAGAGGCGTTCCAGTCGGAGCGCCCTCAGGGTGGGTCCGCGGCTGGGGGGTCCTGGCGGGGGCCGGGTGGAAGTTCATTCATGTCTTGTGGTAGCGTCGTGGCGCCCTCTCGCAGTACCGTCGTAGCCGAGAGAATGCTCCTCTCGGAGCGCGGCCGGGTGGCTGCCGCGGGGTTGGAGCCTCGGTGCGAGGTAGCTGATGCTGGTAATACTAGCCATAGTTTAGGGGCGCCCTCTTGCGGCGCTGCGGTGGCTCTGGAAGCGTCCCTCTCGGAGCGCGGCCGGGCCGTGGCGGCGGCCGCGGGGGCGGGGCCCCGACGCGAACTGAGGGGAGCTAGCGGACCCGTGACAGGTTTTGGGGCGCCCTCGCGTGCCGGGACGTGGCTGGCGTGGCGTACCGCCTGGAGCGCTGCGAGGCCGCGGCCACGGTCGTCGGGAGGGAGGGTCGAGACGGGCTAGCTGGAGTTTGTGAGATAAATAAGGAGATGCGGACGCCCCTGCGCGGCGAAACTGCGACGGGTGGCACGACTAGGGTGGATCCCTGCGCGGGGATCCACATGCATCTGTATGAGGAGGATCCCTTCCCGGGGATCCACTCGCATCTATATGAAGTAGATCCCCCTCGGATCCACGCTCAAACTCATGAGGCGGATCCCCGTTTGGGGGTCAACACACGTCTGTGTGAGGC